GATTGTGGCGGTCTAGGCGGTGTTGGTGGTGCTCGGTGGCCTTGGTGGTTCGGTCTTGGTGTCTTGGTGGTCTTGGTGGTCCCGGTGGTCTTGGTGGTGATTGTGGCAGTCTACTCTTGGTGGTCTTGAGGGTGCTGGTGGCCTTGGTGGTCTTGGTGGTCCGGTCTTGGTGGTCTCCGTGGTCTTGGTCGTCTTGGTGGTTTTGGTGGTGATTGCGGCGGTCTTGGTAGTCTTGGTGGTGATTGTGGCGGTCTAGGCGGCGTTGGTTGTGCTCAGTGGCCTTGGTGGCTCTTGGCTGCTGCTTGCTGCTGCTGGTTGCTGTTGCTGCTGGTTACTGTTGCTGCTGGTTGCTGCTGCTGCTGCTGCTGCTGCTGGTTGCTGCTGCTGCTGGTTGCTGCTCACGCTGGTTGCTGCTGCTGCTCCTGCTGGTTGCTGCTGCTGTTTGGCTGTTGCTGTTGCTACCTCTTGCTGGTTGGTGCTGTTGCTTGAATCCTGAAGACTGCTGCTGCTGCTTTGCTGTCCCCCCCTCTTTCAATTTCGTCCGCGCAACCCCCCAAAAACTGAACGAAAACGAAGGGTTGTGGAGGCCAAACTTGTGTGAGCTTTGGTGCTTTGCTGCTGCTGCTGCTGCTGCTGTTGCTGTCGTTGCTGCTGCCACTGGTGCCACTGCTGCTGCTTTCTGCTTTGCTGTGCTGCTACTGCTGCTGCTGCATTGCTGGTTTGCTGCTGCTGCTGGCTTGTTTCTGCTCAGATCACTACCAAATTCTCCGCGGCGCAGGGTGGAGTCGAATGGGGGGGGGGGCCCGACATTTAAAACCAACTCTTAAACGCCCGAAATCAAGCACAGGAGCTCGTGACCACCCCCAATACAATGCTAAAGCAAGGCAACTCAGGTAGCGTAACCGCTACCTTTCGTGAAAAGCTAGATCGACCTAGTTACTTAGTTGCTGGGCAGAAAGCATCAAGTTATTTCTCTACAAAAATCGGGTTCTGTAGGTGCCAAAAACTGCCTCGTTACAACATGGCCTCTCTGTAAGGGCCTCAATCCCTTTTCGTAAAAGAAATGTCAACAGTGATTACATTTTAAATATATACGGGGGGAGCAAGTATTTTATACTACGTCCGGGGCCGATTGCTCTGGCCCGGCCAGACCCTTTAAATATACGGTGGGAACAGGTATTTTATACTACCTCCGGAGCCGATTGCTCTGGCCAGGCCACCATATATTTAAAAAGCGTTACCGTAAGTCTTAAGCCAATGTGCATGACTCGTTTGTGTTTGAGAGGCCTATGCCTGAGTCAACACGGCCAGCACCAAGCTACACATGCTGGAGGTTCTTCATTGCGACAGCATCCAGCATGCAGCAAGCACACGTCCTGACCCCTTGCGGCGAAAAAGACATACCAGTAGCTCAATCTTGGTTGTGCCCCAGATCCGACAAACGGCTGCAGTATGCGTCTTGTACAGCGGACCACGCGCTTTGGAGAGGGTGAATACAATTTCGTTGAGTGCCCCAACCGAACCATCCAATCCCACCACTGGCCTCTGTGGCACTCTAGGTTTACGACCTGCGGCGACAAGTGGGGCTCTTTACCCAGGCGCCTAGTTGCAAGCACCCTAGTTGCCTAGTTAGTTCAGCTGGCAGGTTTCTCCTTTGACTCAAATGCCTTGGCCTCATGAGGCAACGACAGTCTTGTGAACTTTCTTACCCAATGATTTCCAAGGAACCAGTGGTGGGGTGGCCAAACAGTTCCACATTCTGTTGATCAAACAAAAAATGTGGCAAAGCTGCAATACTGAAGCGATTCCAAGAGTGCAGCAACTTTGCAACACAAAGGCTACCAAGTCCACTTCGATAAAACTCAATACACTGTCGTATCCTTTGTCTAGATTTGCGTCAGTGCATATCGTCTACATTGGTCTGCTTTCATCTGTTTTCTTCGTTTTGTTCTTCAACAAACGCCACTGAGACAACCGACATCTCCACGGCGGAATTCGGTGTCAAGCTCCAGAAGCCGCGCATTGGTGGCCGTGGGCGAGGGGCAAAAAAATGGCGACAGCTCGCAACGCCTAAGCAAAAGAAACAAAACAAACAAGAAGGATTAATTTTTACATGTAAAGTTGAACACGTTAAGTTAGTCAAGAAATCACACACTCGACTATCCTTGCAAAGAAACTTTGAAGATTGCTCACAACTTCCGTCAGGAAAGAGAAAGCGAACAATTGGCAACACTTTTTGGTGCGACCCTATGGGGAATCGTTTCACCTGTAGTAACAATAAAGCTTTCTAGTATATCTTTGAAGATTCTTAGTAAAGCTTTCTAGTATATAACTAGAAGATACTAGAAACTACTAGGTGGAGGCCATCGCTACTAGTAATAAAGCTTTTCAGCAACGACCAAGAAGACATCCAGTTGGACTGCAATTGACGGATTGCTGACGACATTTCTGTGCTCACTCCACGACAGTTCTGAGCTACGTTGGTGCGCGACAGTAACATGGAAATTGGACCATGAAGGTCTTGTGATTCCACACTCACACCATGGACAAAGACCTCCATGTGCACATTCGTTCTACTCTCCCAATTGAGAAGATGCTTCCACGTCTAGCAGGACAACCCTTCCACGTCTAGGTGGCTGAATAACGTTCAGATACAACATGCAAGTGAACATGCAGTAAAGGCACAAAAACAGTTGAAAGGCAGGATTGCAGCAAGGAAGCGTTGCAAAATCTGAGATAAATGAACACTTGTATAAATGTTGTCTGTGTTTGATTTGCAATCGGACACCCATTTGCATGTCTTTGGAGCTGGGAGCAATCGTTTCGAGATCTCAAGATGTGGCAAGATGCAATGGCTCCCCATCCCAAACTCCATAGAGCAAGGACTCGTGGTTGATGCAATTCCTAGGAAATGTCCATACAAGGTGCAATTCCTAGATCAACATCAAGTGCAATTCATAAACACCTGTTTGTCATGATCCTTTCCGAGGGTGCATCAGCTGTTTATCTCACTTCACAATGAAAGCTCTTCACCGTAAAACTAGCATGTTTGTTTCCTTCATACCACTCTTTTACATTTTAAAACAGGAAATGTAGACCAAGCGCAATCGGACCTTCAGTGCAATGTGTGATTTCTTAGCCCAACAGGCTGGAATGAACATACATTGCCACCAAGGTGTCAATGTCACGTTCCCTTCGACCTAAGGCAGCGCTGACGATCCACATGAAACGCTTGGAGGTTGCTTTAGGAATAGAGTTGCTAAGTAACAACTGCATTTTACTACCCCTTGCCCTAGGTGAGCCAGGCAACCAACCCTTATCTACGCTTCGGTCTTGGCAACTACCCGTTGCTACCTGGGTTACAATGAATGGTTTTTGTCAACATATATTTGCAGGTCCAGACCTGGATCTAAATGTTCGGCGCTGAAGCAGGTGGGTAGCGGGTAGCAAAACGGATTGTGGGTTATGGAAGCATAGGTACGGTATCTAGAAGACACATGCAAAACACATCTAGTGATTAAGAAACCGAAAACACGTTTCAACCTGATCTTAATGTGTCCCAAAGAAAATTATCACCTTCTTCGACTTTTCCTGCTTCACTTCGAATTTTGCATTGCTTTTGCCGCGTTTGAACGGGGGCCTCTGCTATTTGTTTGCCAAGTGGCGCTGCTAAGATGGGTCTATTATTTTTACAGTAATGACATGTGGGAGTTGATCTAAATTCCTTTATCCGGGATCCGTCATTTTCGCAAAAAACAATTACTTTAGCCAAACTTTCGCCTTCCTGCGTTTCATCTTTCGCCGAAGTACGTTGTATTTATGTGTGCCATGTATGTTGTATTTTGTTCACGTCAATGGCTTCTTCTTTACTGGCAAACACAAAATAGAAACTTCACTGTTTGTCAGCATGTGTCTTCTACTTAACTGTTGACACCCTGTACGTCTCTTTTGTTTCTCCTTGGTGTCAGCATAGAGTTTTGTGGCAAAGCCACCCCCCCCAAGCAGGAGCAGGAATAGTAGTAGTAGTAGTAGTCGTAGTCGTAGTGGTCGTGGTCGTGGTAGTAGTAGTAGTAGTAGTAGCAGCCGCAGCAGCAGCAGGTTATCTAACTTCCACAGCTCATCTAACTTCTGAGTCACGGCCACCAGCTGTTCAGGAAGCAAATGAACATTCATACAAAAGTACATATTTAATCTTTCGCCAGATCTTTCGCCAAAAAAACATTACTTTCGCCAACTCGAGAAAAAACTTTCGCCAAATGAGATTTTGATGTGTTCCGGGTCATCGTCATACACCATGCTGTCTAGGACCTTTAGATCGACAACCATGTAAAAACTGAAATGTTGAAAACACATGTTAAACTGTTAAACATGTGACATGACCTCGCTGAGAGCGTGGCTCGCTGGTATCCAATATGACATCTCAGAGTTGCCTGGCTCCCGTACTCGTAAGCGCCTCTGAACACTGCCACACACAAGCAAATGTAACATGTGAAGAACCAAAAAACGGTTATGATAAATGAAAGATATCTCAAGGCATGTGGTTTTGAACAAAGTGATGTTTGATGGGACATCGTGCACCTTTTTGAATCTTTGTGTTGGATCTCAGGTTCTGGCTGCTCAACAAGGCTTCACTGTTCATACCAAGCAATTCCAACTGTGGACACCAGTCACGACGAAACACCTCAAGGTGAATTTGAACACAGGGAACTTGGATCCAAGGAGGCGTGAGTTGATATTCACACTTCAGCACGTTACGTTTTTTTTGCTGTCTCTTGTTCAAACTCGTGCTGGTGGATGGTAAGCACATCACAAGCATCAGTGTTGAACATTACTCTCCTCTTCAGACAGCGTGGCTAATGGTCTGCACACAAATAGGCAGCTCAATGTTGCTCCCATCCTGAGTGGGACAACAAAATGAACGTTCTTTCTGCATGCCCTTCAAGTTTTCTTATTCCTCCAAACTATGGTCGCGGTGGCCGGAGGCGCCTGGTAACTATTTTATTTCGGTGTAGATTCTTTGATAACATTCCAGACATGTCCCAAAATACCAAAAAGTCAGACTTTCAAAGCTGCTAGAGTTGCAAGTGCGCTGAGTACGCTTGCAGGGTTCTTTGCTGTGAGAGTTCTATAAATACACGCGCTGGCGCACCCTTGATACACGTCAAAATTAGATTCGCATCGGAGATCATCCGAGCAATCTCCGATGTTAGACTTCCTATGAGGATTATGAAACAACACGTTCTTCAGCACTGCAGCCACACACTCTCTCTCTCTCTATCTCTATCTGACTCTATCTGTTGCGTACCTGCAACTCCGCTGGGCTTCTGCGGGAAATCTGACACATCTGCGATCAGCCAAGAGAACTTGATGGCCTTTGGCCAGCAAAGCAAGCTGTAGCTCCAGGCGATCTGCGATCTGGCAAAGGAGTTTTATGGAGGTGCGCGGGTCTGATTCCGAGCCATCTGATAAAGCAACGCAAAAGAAATGCTGTGCAAACTTTTCACGCGCGGGCACTTGGGTAGGACCCTCGGTCTTCCCCCGTGCCCCGTTCAGAGAAAAGCCGCTAGCAAAAGTCCCCCTTCTCGAAGGCGCGCAGGAAACGTTGTCCGACGCAAAGACTGCGACGGCAAGGTCGTGTCCCAAAGCATGAGGGCGGCATCTGTCCAGCACTCATTCTCTTCCATGGACAATGGGGCTCGTAGCCAGATGAAAAAGCACCCGCTACACGGCTCCCATGCCTGCTCCCTGGAGTAGTTCCCACAGGCTGGTTGATGGCCGAGCAGCTTTCCCACCCGCTCCCTCTCCAAGCCCGCGGCAGGCCACCAGCCCCCAAAGACAATTTCACAAACTAACTGTGGCACGCCACCTGCACACCAATGTAGAGGACCCCATCCCCGTGCCGCCCCCACACTTTGCAAGCTTTGCAAGTGCACTCAGCGCGTTTTCAGGATTCTTTCCTGTGAGAGCCCGTCAATACACACACTCGAGATTGCATCCATAGCAAGTCTAAAAACTGGATTCACATTGGAGCCCTCTCCGATGTTAGACTTCCTATGAGGATTATGAAGCAACACGTTCTTCAGCACTGCAGCCACACTCTCTCTCTCTCTCTCTATCTGCTGCGTACCTGCAACTCCGCTGGGCTTCTGCGGGAAATCTGACACATCTGCGATCAGCCTTGTGAACTCTCTTTTCTGGTGTGATACTTGATGGCAATCAATGCCAAGAGAACTTGACGGCCTTTGGCCAGCAAAGAGCACCAAACCCTCCAAGATTCACTGAGTAACAGAACTGCATCGAAATCTGATTATTATGTCTAGGCACGAATCTAAACAAATAGGTTCATCAAGCTGAAGTGCATTCCCGAAAACCAATTTTCTACATTCCTGTTAAAGACACTGTTGCGCCAAGAAAGACAAGCATGATACCATGAAAACGGTAACACGCTTTCATTGTAACGATGACACTGTAATGGATAACAACACAAACACAGCAGAATGCGCTTATCATCTTCAGAGTGTCATGTTAAACAACCTCAAGAAGCAAATCATCCCCGTGCCCACCCCCCACCCAACCCACCTCTATCAACCCCCACCCCATGATAACGATGACAATGTTGTGACAAAATGACCCATGAACATCAGCTTATTGTCCATGGATTATAAACAGCAACTCAGGGAAACGCGGGCAACTATATATCCGTTGCGTTCCTCGAGTTTCCCAAAGGGTCGACACGAATGCAGGTTGTGACATCAACAGAGCGATTTGCAACCTGAACTGTTTTTCGACTCAAAAAGCAATATGGGCGCCATGGCCTCTTATCACGCTGTTTTGGACTCGGACGCTCAGCGTTTCTTGGTCTCCGCGCTGCATCGACCCAACGGCCACCGGTTCCATCCGGTGTCTCGGCTGCACCGATTACACAGTAGACGTGCTCATCACCTCCGATGTGACAAAATTACAAAACTGAGTGAGTTGAAACACGCTTCCTTCCTGGGAAAACAAACTTCCTTCGATTCATTTGTCTTGCGCTGTCTACGAAATCTTCAATCCATCTCACACTGAGAGGGGTATGCGTCGTTCGGTAATTATTTGTGTTATGCTGATTGCTCGAGAGTGTGAACATGCTTGGAGGAAGGAACTTGCCAACTCCTACAGGGCTTTGGGCTTGGGTAGTGGTCCTGGGTTGAGTAAAAAAACATTGCATAAAATAGACAACCTTTACGTATGATACGTGGCTCTTCTTGAAATGGGACAATCCACTCAGATCGGTCGCCTCCCACATTGATGAAGGGATAGCCACAGGCCCTGAGAAGCGGAAAATATAACCACAATCGAAAAAACTTCGAACAGAATCCCAGTCCAAAAGAATCAGCAGGAGAAGAACCCTTCTTCCCTCGTGCAACAAAAACTCTTTTGCCGGAATTGAATTCATGACGTGATGCGAAAACATTGTTCTCATGGTTCTGTGGGCACTCCTAATCACTCCGCGGCAACCACCGTTAACAAAGGACCTTCAACTCCTCCAACCTCCCTGCAAACAATTGTGAATCAGCGCTGCACCCGTCAAGATACAAAGAGTGGAAAGCGTCAGATATTGGAAGCATACTTCTATGGCATCGCTACAAAAGGACCACTTACTGGGTGCTTCGGCACGAATGACATTCTAAATGTACGCTAAATTGTTTTTTCATAACACACCTGAGAAGGGAGGGGACGAAAGCCAGCCTCCGAAGAAGAAGACGTCAATGTGGTTATGGGGTGAGTTCGACAGCGCGCCGGAACTGCTGTCAGGCATGGGGAAATAGAAGGCAGAGAGGCGCAAAGTCTCTTGTTGAGGGTCGATATGATAGCTTCTTTGTACGCAAGGCCTTGATCAAGGCCCATTCACTGTTAGCGGTTCTAGGATAGAAGTGGAGCCTGTGCGTTAGGAGAAAGGTTGAATTTAGGTCTTGGGGGATGAAGGTTGAGTTGAGCAGGACATTCATGTCGAGGGGGGTGCCCTTTTTCTTTTGGTTCAGGGCCCAGGGCGTTTTCAAGCTGAAAAAGGGCAATCGGATAGCCACGGGAGAACCGAAGGTTGAGAGGCGCAGAGTTTCGCATTGAGGCTCGGTATGATAGAGCCTATATACACAACGCCTGGATCAACTCACATCCGCCATTACGTGTCATAGGATAGACTTCGATCCGTGCAAAAGTCGGACTACATCTGTAGCTCAGAGGGGTGACCTTTTTGATCTGGTTTATAATCCTTTTGACAACAAAAGGGCCACGCCAAGCAACTCAAAGGTTCCGGACTGCATTCTTTTTCCTCTCCAGGACATCCCATATCAAGACGCACTTATGAAGGTTAAGCCCGCAAATATCCTCCTGAGTTGTCCGAACTATCTCTATGAGAAAGAGGTTCTAGTTTGCACAGAGTCTCACTGCTTCTGCCTGTAACTGGATGGCCAATGGGGCGGCATCGTTTCTTGCATTTCGCGGGTGCCCTTTTTCTTTTGGTTTAGGGGTGTGTTCAAGCTGAAAAAGGGCACCCGTAAGTTACTGGGGGGGCGCTTGTATCGGAAACACAAACTCGGTGTGCTGCTAAGAGTAGACCGACGAAGTTTATTGTCAAGATCATGTGGCTGCCGAACATCGAGCAAAGACTGTTGTTATGGGGCGCAGTTGACATTGCGCTGACCTCTGCTGCTGTTACGCACGGGGAATTAGAAGGCTCCGGAATTGAATGCCTTGATAAAGGCCCATTCACTGCCATGCGTGAGGACAAAGCTGAGCAGGACATGGACAGGTTGGGGGGAGGGGCTGTTTCTCCTGGCTCAAGGCAAGCAATGCACAAAGCATCGGTATGGTTTCTCGATCAAGTTGAATACATATTTAGAATGATGATGGCGTGCGTTCATATGGGCGCATTGATTTCATGATTCTTTCTATAGAACTTTTCGCAGGACCTTGGAGGCTTTTTATCGTTCAGGCTACAGAGCCGTCCTATGGGGTGACTAAGACTGCGCAAGTGCGACCTTGAAGTGTTGGTCATGAGTCATAGCTATCAATCTTTCCGGACCGAATCCCGCTGCACCAAACATGGAAGGCAACAAGTTCCGGATCATATTTGTGTTGAAGCTACGGCGTTCCAGTGTTCATATGAAATCTTAGGCTTCGAAGTCGTGTAGCAGAGTCTGGCTTGCGCAAGTCTCGCCGCTTCTGTCCTCTAACTGGTGTCCGTCCTGGTTAGCCTGGTCAGCTCCCTCAGTATGGGCTCTTTCCTTGCGTTTCCTGTCGTGCAGTCTCCCCTTTCCTGTCCTCCGAACTCCCACCGCTGGTCACTCGACAGTCTAAGTGGTCTCCTGCGCACCAGTTTTGTGAGCACTTCGTGATGCTAATGATGCACTATTCACGTTCATTTGCATCATCTGCATCACCAAGACCACTAAAAGATACATTTTCACTACTTTCCGGACCACGTAATTTTTTTTCCCTCTCCCCCACCAGGCTCTGGGTTCACCCTACGTTTGCGACCACCCCTCACTTCGTTCATCGACAACTCCAGCATTTCTCTATCGGCTGGCTTTCGTAATCACACACACAACACCTTGGTGAGCACCTTACAAAAACATGAATATGGAGTTGCTCCATTTAATTTCCACTTTGCATGGAGTTCTGTCGTCCCGCTTGGCCCAGTAACCCTTTGCACATGCCTGCTAAACCCTGTGGTCTAGATGGTTACCAAATAGTCACCAAACGGTCATCTAAAGAAAAGGAAAACATGTTTAAGAAAGGAGAACAATAAATATGTGTCTAAAGAAAAAGAGAAAAGAACAGAACCCACGGTAAAGTATAGTATAGACTCAATTTCTTGATTTTTCTTGTCGGTTCCTACCCCCTACCGCCCACCTGTGGCCAAGGAGCAAGGTGGCATTCGCCGCATGATACCGCACAGCTTGCAGGCCCTGATCACCTGTTGCTTCTAAGGTGAAACTGATATCAACTAGCCTCCAACCTAATAGCGATGGCCTCCAACCTAGTATCAGGATGCATGAGGTGTGGTTCTTGATGTGACAGTGTCATAGCTTTCTTCCAAGCAGGTACCAAGTACAATGGTGAGGATAGCAGGAAGGTGGTTCACTGAGCCTGGCAAGCCAGAGATCACTCCAGCACGCGTTGGAATAAAGCCTCAAACCAGAGTGATGCATTCAATTTAACACAGAATGAAGGCATCTGAAAGCCAAACATGGATGGGTACAAATTGGTACAAAGGACATTGATATCCGGCATTAGCTAGCTTGAAGATAAAGACAATGCAAAACATGCTTAAGCAAATGCATGTAGAAATCTGAATTGCTTTCAAGATATCTTTGATTATCATGTTCGCATATTTTCGCCGAGGGGCTGGTGGTGGATGTCGCTGTGGTGGTCACCACTCTCTCTCGACAAGTCAAGGCCACTGCCGGGGCACCAAAGGCATCTAGCCAAATGCCCGAAGCCCTGGCAACGGCGACGGCGTCCTTTGGGCGTCTCAGTTCCTTCCGCGGTGCGAAGGACTTGGTCTTTCGATGTTTGCAGACCGACCAGTTCTGTTTGTTTAGAATTCTTCTGAAAGAAAAGCTCCTAGCAGCGATGCCCTTTTCTCCTAGTAGCGATGCCAGGAGCCCCTAGAAGCTGTTTTTTCTAGTTCTTCTCGTTTTCTAGGTTTTTCATCTCTTGGATTGTTTCAATAAATGTTGGTGTTGCCTGTCTGATGCCATGCCACAGCGCACAGTGACACTTCCATAATCCGGTTCCCACCTGTGCGTGTCAGAAACGTGCAGGAAAAGACTTTTCGGATCTAAGCAAATCAGACTCCTAAACAAGTAGTCTGGGCACCAAAATCAATTTGGGTCAGAAAAACACCAGTTGTGAAAGGGGGTTGTCTCCAGACTTCCAGAAAATCTGATTAGTGGGACCGCCGCTTCCCCCCGCTTCAAGTCTGCAGCGCTCTTGATCGACCGGGGCATCCATGCCGAGTGACTCGAGATCATTCAAGCAGCGGAAGAAAGCCAATGACCCCAGGCGGCGGCCTTGCGTAACCTGCACTTCGCACGATTTGCTGTAAAATCGTGGAATTCATTCGGCTCAACAAGTGTTACGGAAATCATTGGCTGGTTTCCACTGGACATGTGGACCAGGAAGCACCATCACATTTGCTGTGCATGTTTGTGCTTCCTAGCAACTCAGCTTGCAAACGTTTCTGATCGTTTCGGTACAACACGTCCAATCATCGGCGCTGGCCGCTTACTCGAGGTCAACAGGCGCACAGTTCTTTCGATTGAAGTGTGTCAGCAAGAAGGGCTTGTCAGTTAGGTGAAGCAATGGCCTCCAATCTAAGAGCGATGGCCTCCAACCTACTATAGCGATGGCCTCCAAACCACTGGTATCTGTGGACAGTTTGCCTTTGCATAAACTATCATGAGCTTATTCTTGTCAATTAGTGTGAATCAAAGTAGCACAAAGCTATCCACTGGTGGAAGCAAAGCATGATCAGCTTTGTGCCTGTAATGTTTCGGTGGTCAATGGATATCCTATTTCGTACCGTTGACAAGTGACGCAATCTAGCACCGGTGCCAAAACGTTCCGTGTTAGTTTTCGATGCATCGGCTCGCCCTTCACGTGTCCAATCCGTCGATCCAAGTGGTGCGACTTACACCAAGACCTGCCAAGAGGCATTCAAGATGAATGCCTTTTCGCCAGGTAGAAGCAGGGGACACCAGTGATCATCAAGGTCCTAAGGTGAACTTGGCATGCATGGAGCAACCATCCTCCCTAATTCGTACAACTAATCCAAGGCCTTCAGGGCTGGAAGAAGAAAGCATCCATTCCGAGCGTAGTCTGAGATTTGCTTTGGTGTTGTTTGTGCTGTCCGTGGTATTGTCAAACCAGCACTTTCCTCACTAGAGTGGCTGAAATCGACACAAATCGCATGAACGAAATTGCTGTGCTCCGGGCTAGCTTGCTTTGAACCAACATGTCCGAAAATCTTTGAACATGCTGAGCGGAGACCAAGGATCGCAGACTGGGATTTCGTACTCGCCACCCAAGACCTTCGAGATAGCACAGTTGCTGGCACGAATCACATCGAATCAGTTGCAACATGTTCGACACTCCTCGACCACCACGCGTTCGGTGCCTGAGCCTCCCCACATCTTCCCAGTACCCGGCGTCGTCTGACATATTGCTACTACAACGGACCATGGAGCTGCCAGCCATAAGGACATAGGCTGGAGGGCCTGGGCCATGAAGCGAGGTTCAATCACTCTGTTTGCCTGATACATTGCAAAACACCTGTTGTTGGTTTTGGCCACTGGCTGATTCCCTGCCCTTGCGCCTCCCACACAAAATGATGTTTTCATGGCTTCATACCACACTAGTGTTGGGTGGTTCTGTGCGTGCTTGGTTAAGTTCAGAGGAAGCCCAGCCAAATAGTAACTCCGGTTTGTACTTGCGAAGGGAGACGTTTTTGTGTTGGGCTGTTGCTTGTGCCATGACTGTCAGCATGGAAAGGAATTTGAAGTGCAACAAATGCACACCACAATCCAAGTTCAACTTGTTTTCCAAGGATTGAGAAAAAAAGGCGTTCTAACTTCTGACACCTGACCAGTGCCCGTTGGAGGCCAAAACACACCTCTCAACTTCAAGCCTGTGTGCACAAACCACATAAAAACCATCAAAAACCTGAAGTTTGTCACATGGTGCAACCCCCCCAAGGACGCTACTAGGGGCTCCTGGCCTTACTACTAGGAGCAAGGACGCTACTTGGAGCAAAGGGCATTTCTACTAGGAGCAAGGACGCCATTAGGAGGGATAAGTCAACCCTTCCAAGGGCGGCAAGTCAACTGGCTCCCCTGTGTTTGTCCATAACAGAAATTGTACGACAAACTATGGGCACCTATGGGCACGAAAATTTTTTCATGCACTCCTTTGTCGGAAACCGAGTTCTGAAATTTGGCAAGCATTCCCTTCCGACGCTGTAAAAAGGCGAAAAGGTTCAAACACACAAAAAGTACAAACCGCTGTTCAAAGCACCTTTAAGTGTTCTGAGCTCCATTTAATGGTTCAATCTGTTTGGTGTTCTAGCCGGATCGCTTGTGAGCAGGGGGCCACTCCAAACACCACCAGGGAGTGAACGAAAAGCCTGGTGATGTCGTGCTGCCAGTGTACCTGCTCAGTGTTGCTCCTGGGCGCATTTAAGTCAAAGCTGGAGGACACGTTCATTTTGAAGCTGCCACGTGGAATTCAAGCTGTCATAGGCTGTCGCATCCATTGTTGACTAAAGAGCTAGTGTGGGGTTAATTTCAGATGTTCACCCCCCACACACACTTTGCTCTTACTGTACGAGAAGCTAGTAACAAGAAGCTACTAGGGGCTCCTGGCCTTACTACTAACAGCAAGGACGCTATTAGGAGCAAAGGGCATTTCACTGCACTTCCAAGTTAGTTTGTATGTTGCCGCATCTCGGCAGTGTACCTTGCAACCACTAGCAAGAACAACTGCCACTGCCAAATCAAAGGAGTGGTCCCTTTTCCGTTTGCTGCGCCACACGTCTTCCACCTGTATCTTGTAGTGCCTTGTCAACTTTGGTAAGAACCTTCACGTTGCTGGCGCGGTGTCCATTTCGTGAGCTTCGTCATTTAGGGCATGGTCATGCATGGTCTGGCGGTCGTAACATTTGTCGTTTGGCACTGCAAGTGGATATATAATCCCACATTTCTTGGTCTATCTCTGCAGTTACTCAACTCTGAATCTGTTTGGCCAGAGTTTAGCTGTGTCTTGACCAAGGTATGTGCAAACTTGAGCATGGCTTCTTTTTGGAAAGGTCAAGTCTATCTTTGAGTCCACTGTCCCCATTCTCTCAAATATGTCGCCCAGGCACATTGAAGCTTCATTGTCGCACCAATGCTTCTTGAGGTGCCATTGAGCAATACACCTGTGGGAACTGGAAATTTTCATAAAAACATCTTGCAGTTTTAGACAGAGCAGTCTCAACAGACTGTGTTGCCTCCAAGCCAGTCCACGGCTCTTGGTCAATGTTGGTGCTTGCCGAGCCTTCACATGGTTCCATCGGAATGGACAGCTCTTCCAATTGAAGCGAGAAGTTCTGCGGCTCCTCAACAAGAAGAGAAGTATTGCATCTGCTTCACTTCGGCACAAGATGGAGCAACTGGTGACCGACCTCCGTGGATGCTCCAAACAGCGACTTAAACGACGTAGCGGTCACATGTCCTCTGCAGGCGCTGCCATCGCAGGCCGCCAGACCAAAGGGAACTGCGTCGGTTGCAATCGAATTGTAGAGAATGCATGGACCGGCAGAGCTACTTTTCTCCAGAAAAGCTGCAATGCAAAGGAAGCTGCATCTGCATGTAGTTGTTTGGACATGTACAGCTGTATTAATGTTCGTGTGAACTTGGTTTAATGCTATCGCTACCGAAAGGCAAAGACTGTGACTCTGAAAGTTCGTTGAACTGGATAATCTTGCTAGCCGTGTCAATTCAGCAAGAGCATCAATCATAGTGACACTGCAGTGAGGAAAAGCCAAGGAATGCAAAGTCCACTATACTTAAGGTGACAGTGAGTTCGCTTCATGTCACATCGTGTCTCACACACACAAACAAACAAACCGACCAACAGACCGACCAGCCAACCAACCAAGGAACAAAAGCAAGTGCACGGCTCTGACGATTGCCTCTGGGCAAAAGGCCAGATCGTATTGACAGCACTCCAACAGGGGAGACCAAGAGCCTGTCGGCGCACGGCTCATCACGGCTCTGTGGCATTCAAATACCTAGTTGATGTGGCTTCTCAGGGCCGTTGTGTCGGAGAACATGTGAACGTAAACATGCGAAGCTTTGACGAATCTGCCTGAGGTGCCACAGAATGGCATGTGACCGCCACCCGTGGCATGGAAGCCGCCCAAGCAGCGAAGCTGCGCAACCGAGCCAGGCAGTGCCTCACGGTTCTGTACATCCCAAGACTTTAGCGTTCGACATGAAAGCAAAAAACAATGAAAAAGAAACTATAGATTCTAATTAAATGCTATATATTGTTTCTACTAGCTTCTTGTTACTACTTGTAAGGCACTTGTTACTAGAAGCGATGCACTTGTTCCTAGTAGCTTCTTGATGAAAGCAAACAAGAACACGAGAGCACCACATGTGTTTGTCTAACAGGCCATTCTGAAAAATCAAGCACTGATTCTGTCGATGTCGTCCATTCTGTCTTAGCTTGGAACTATCTGTGGTTCACGTCTGTCCTCCATTGCCCCTGACCGAGCAACTCTCCGTGGGAGGTTCACCACATGGACGTTCTTCAACAGGCCTGAGCAAGTCGAAACATCTCGAAACATCTCGAAACTTCGACTTGGACTTAGTCCTGGATCATTTCATTGATTGAGATTGCAACTGGAACGCGAGAGAGAGAGAGAGAGAGACAAAGACAGGCAACCGTCCTTCCAAGTAATCTTGAAGTAATACACGGCGTTTGCCCTTTGCTCCTAGTAGCTTCTTGTTACTACTAGTAAGGCACTTGTTACTACTAGCGTGGCACTTGTTTCTAATAGCTTCTTGCTACTACTAGTAAGGCACCTGTTACAGGTGCAGCGTTCATTCATAGCATGTCATAGAATGCAGTTTTGCAACCGGGTACTGGAATGACTCTACGATTGTAAAGGTGGGGGGTGAGGGTTGGGAATCAGTTGAACAATCGTTCCATTGTTATCACCGCTTTCTTAATTAGTACTAAAGACCCCAGTTCGATCCCGACTTGTGTGTTCGATTCGGAATTAAGGACACCCGTTTCTCGGATTGTGTCCTCCCATCTCATTCTTCCAGCAAGCTGGGTATGACGGTATGACTGATTCCAAGATCATTCTCCTTCCCAGATTTTGCGAGCATGAAACGACCTTCGAATGCACCCTCTTGAGACACATCTAATCGAAACACCATGAACCACCCAAGGTGAAACACAACATAAAGTTCCCAGGCCTCAAGACAAACTTAAATCTATTTTCAAGAGCGTGCCAAGCCTAGGTAAAACATAGAAAGGCTGTTTAAAAAAGAACACTGTGAGTCACACCGAACTCAAAGCACGCGCAAAAAGGGCACTCGCATTCGACTCAAGAGGCGATCTTCCAGCCGCAAACAAAGCACCAGCGGACAGTGGGGGCGCTCATGCTCATAGAGGTCCAAGGCATCTGACAGCACGTTTCTGAAGAAAGCAAAACTGTCGTCTGAAGAAAGCGTTTCTTTTTTGAAAGCGCCGCAGATGGGTAGTAAGCTTGCTAGTAGCTAGTAAGGTGTAAGGCAGAACGTATCAAGCTAGTCGACCGACGCAACTACTTAGAGCTCCAACGCCCTACTCGTTCGGGGGGAAAGCTTCCTTGAAGAACCCCGACAGCGTGCGCCTGAGTCCTCCAAGCTCATCCCATAGAGGCGGAACAGCGTGCGCCAGCCTCCAGCAGAAGCATGGTTACATTTATATGTTTTGACTTGAGAAAAACACAACGACTGAAGCAAAAACACATCTTCAGAACAATCCTACAGGTTCTCATCACAAACGCGTTAATTCTCGGACGGATAGACCCAAAACTTTGAAGAAGTTACGCATATCGAGTAGGGTAGCACGGGTAGCAGTAGCAAAGCTCTTTCACATCGACACGTATTTCCCGATCCGCCATCGTTGGCAGTGGTGTCGAAGTCTAAGGAGTTCAACGGCCATCCAAAGTACAAATCTCCAAAGACCACCTCCTCAGCAAACATGTCTTAGCCAAGAACGGCATGTGAACACAGCCAAGCACGATAGTGCATTGTTCATAATGCCATGCTGCTAATTCCCCTTCATTATCTGTTCAAACTTGATTGGAATGCCCCAAAATCTGCATTCCTGGCTGCCTCTTTGCAACTTCAAAAACTATTCGCCTCAAGGGATCTCAACAAATTCTGGATGATTCTGGCCTTCCCGGTTTTGCTCTTCCCGGTCTTCGTGTGGGTGCAAACTCTTCACTGCCCGAGGATCAGTGTCAAGGCTTAGGTTGTCGCTCCCAGGTAAGATGATCCATCCCTGTCCAAGCACCGACCAGATCCAAACGGCTCATGGTGGACGTGTTCTTGTGACACCGATCTTCAAACCAAACATTCACACAGAGTCAAAAGTCAAACGAGAACATATTTCACAGGAAAATCCCCTCATCAATATGCTAGGCGCAACAAGATCGTGTCGAAAAGTCATGCTCAAACATGTGAACATACTTGCAGGAGCAAAGTTTATCACAGAAGCATACTTGCATGATAGTGTCCTGATTTTCTTGAACCTTTTCAAGCAGGATGCTGCAGGGATGTTCGATGACCACACAAAAAGACTTGCAATTCAGAACGGAAGGGAGGACTTGTCTGCGTGATTCGCTTACCTGTCCGTTAGTATTGCGCATCTGCGAGAAATGGCCTCCTCTCTCGCTCTCCAGATTAGTTCCTGGCCAAACACATCTGCAATTGAGGAACAACACTTCTCCACCAGTTTCGCATGCCGTGCTGTCTTGTTGCTCATATCGGTGTGGAAATATATATGCTTTGCTTCGCTTGATCCAAAAGTGAAGTCAGCGAAGTCTTCACTGCGGAGAACAAAAACTGCTATGGTTCATGTCGTTTGACGTTCGAAGCTTTTGGATCTCGCACCACAACTGCTATGCAAGTGCTACATGGTCCTCCAGGGGAAGCGTCAGGCTCATGCTCTCGTTAGTCTCATTTGTTTCATTCGTAAGGGCGTCCAGGCCATCCTCAGCTTGATGTGCATAGCGATGGCCTCCAACCTAATAGCAATGGCCTCCAATCTAATTGCGATGACCAGGTTGACAATTTGAAAGTTCATGAGAGTGGGGATCTGATGCGTCACAGTGAGCTTGCAGGAACCATGAAGTTGTCACAACTCATTTCGCCCCTGCAACTACTTACGAGGTTGCGCAAGCGGCTCAAGTGGTCTCAGGAAACTTCAGAAAGAACAGAACCGGGACATAAGTGACTGAACTCGTCATCTCGACATCTCGCAGGAGGTGATGTCTTGAAGGCCAAAGTGCAGCCAGTGGAGCCTACTTCAAAACCTTGCTTGAATGCTGGTACTCACGACTTCTGTGTCTCACTTCCTAGATAGACAGCTCTGTCTGCCCTTCCTGAGCCAATGTGGAAGGGTCTCCGTGGATACCAAGTGGTTTCGCGAAATTGCTGCCATTCATTCAATCAAGATTTGCCTGAAGAGCTGCATAATCTGTTGACGGTATGGAGAAGTACTGCGAAGTGGGTCTAGAAACTTTGCTCGGAGTTGTTGTTCATCTCTCGAAGGGAAGACAGTGAACCCGGTAGGTCTTTTGGGTAGATAAGAACCTCACATTCATTTTAGAACCTGAACCCTCCCAAAAAACATATATAATGTCCTTCCCAAAAAGCATATATAATGTCCCATTGTGCCACACATTGAACTTCGACAAATCCAAAGTAACCCAGACTCCTCTCTTCTATTCTTCCACATTCTTCCCATTCTTGGTTATTCTTCCTCTGATTCTTCGATTCTCTTTCCCTTATTTCCCCGCTCTTAGGTTGGATGCCATCGCTATGAGTCTTTTTCTGTCCCTTCCTCGTTTCGCATGCCGAGGTGCAGAGGTGTCATTCATATTCATCTCGGAAGTCGTGGTGGTGATGGTCCTGGTGGTAGTCACTGGGAGCGCCACGCTGGTGCCGTTCAGCCACAGGGTGCTGCCCATACCTTCCAGGGCCAAAAGATTCCAAGAACCACATCTGTTCAAAGTTGGTCGCAATTCTGCAAAGAAATTGTATCAACTTCTGCAACAAATTGTGTTCCAAAAAGCATTTCCCAATGTCCAAGCTGGAGAAGGAAACCTCTCCCGCCTCCCTGGTCCCAGGCATAGGCGATTTGGATCCAATGTCCAGGTGCCCCAACCCGCTTTAGATCAACCTGGAATCGTCCCACGTCCTCGCATCTGCTCGCATCTGCTCGCTGGGTGAGTCCCAATACCGACCAACTGAATCATCCAACCTACAGTAATAGCAGCCTCCAACCTACTAGCGATGGCCTCGAGAGTTGCACACAAACAGCTCCAATCCCACGGCAGAGCGATGGCGATACAAGTGTCAAGAACAGTGACAACATGTGACAACTATCTGTCTCTCTGCAAAATGAGAAAGACTCAGAGATAGGAAGAAGATGAGCATGGCAGGAATCAGGCCATCAGATTCGTATTATTCTGGAGGTGACTCCTCAAAGCCTCAAAACCTCCCCCAAAGTCCTCAGGGGGAAGATGTTTAAGCTGGTGCTAGACGTCCTAGCTACTCGCTGGGTGAAGATCAAAGACATAAAGCCAAGACACCCAACGGAAAAGGAAAAACGATGCTGGCAAAACACTAAGCGTGCATGAACAAATGCCTAGAAGTATTGAGAATCACCGTCCGATGCGGTCACAATTGACCACAACCCGACTAGTCATGTGCTGCTTTGGGAAAGCGCAAGCCGAAGTCTTGGGTCAAGCTCTCTCAAACCGAGAACTAGTTTCTGTCAAAGTATATTAAGAAACGACTGCCAACAAGATACACAAAAGTTCCCTGTCTCCTCGGCTAGTTGCACTGTCAATAGCCCTTGTCTCACCACCATTCGCGGTGATGCCAAGCAATCTTGGTATGGTGCGCTTCTGGCAAATAGCAGATATCCATACACCAAAACACAGTGCGTTTGTTTGGGAAATCGGCTATCTCTCCTCCGTGGCCCATCAATGCATGTTGGCCACAAGAATTTTCTCCCCCTCCCTTCGTCTCTTGCCGATGACAGAAATAATGCGTGTCTCGTCAGTAGAGTTCCAGCTCCACGGCTTCAAATCTGAGGCTCTGACACAGCATTGTCCCATTCGTCTCGTTGTCCTGCGAAAAGTGGTGACAAAACGTGGCCATAGATGTGGTGATGCTAGTAACAAGTGTATTACTAGTAGCTACTAGAAGCAACTAGGAACAAGGGGCATCGCTACTAGGAGCAAGAAGCTACTAGTAGCTCCTGGCATTACTAGTATCAAGAAGCTACTAGAAGCTAGAAGCTACTAGTAACAGGTGCCACGCTAGTAGTAACAGGTGCCTTACTACTAGTAACAAGAAGCTACTAGAAGCTAGAAGCTAGTAATGTGATGGTGATATGTCTCGGATCGCTCAAGGTTCGCTCTTGCCTCATCCTCGGTGTCATTGGCCTGGCCCAAGTGTGGTGAACATTTGAGAAACTGGTTTCTGGGCGCAAGGGAGCTCAAGGAGCTCAAGGAGCTCAAGGGAGCTCAAGGGAGCTCAAGGGAGCTCAAGGGAGCTTGGAGTGCAGATTGTTTGCCACTTCGGACTTCGTCTTTAAGCTTCACGGCTGACCAATCCAAGGTGGACGCTCTACGCACCCATTGGTCTGATCCACTTTTTCGGGTAACCGGTCGCCACAACTATCGTTTGCGACAGCTTCGACAGCTCGCGTTCGTGATGTCGTCGATCATATCCTGGGAGTCATCCGTGTCGTTTTCACCTGAGGTTGACAGTTGAATTGACGAATTGTTGATCTGACGAATTCGGAGAACTCTAGGTTCGTACCGAAGGCTTTCCAGCGACAGGAAGGGTGCAACAAGAAGTCTGCTGGCTGATTTGGGAAGAGCTCATGCTCAAATCGCTCTACTTTGAATTGAATGCATTTATCTGCACAAAGGCCTTTGAGTTCGATTGAAACTTCACATTTCTCTCGTCCTCGACGCATGCAGCAAAAGTTTGAATCCGCAGAAACAAACAAAACAATTCCAGTAATCAAAGCTTCAAGAACAATTAAACTGAACCTTCCCTGCTAAGCCAAATCAAAGCTTGACGAGCTTTGACTGACTGGCTTTCCTGGGTTTCCAAACCAAGGAGACGACGGGAGGAATTCCTGGGCAGGCCATCGCTGTTGCAGTTCAAAGAAATGCACTTGAAGAAAAAGACATGTCATGAGATGCTACTAGTATCAAGGACGCTACTACGGGCTCCTGGCCTTACTACTAGGAGCAAGGACGCTACTAGGGGCTCCTGGCATCGCTAGGAGGAGCATTCTTACTACTAGGTTGAGAAACCGTTCCATGGCGTGAGTCTCTCAGTCTCCCACCAGTCATCCAATTGAGTGACATTTTCATCGGTGTCGTCAGAGCCATTGTCAAAAGAGTCGTTGCCTACTACAATGCTCGGTTCCGGAGAGACTAGACTGTTACACTGTTCATGAATCTGCAGACATAGCTTGCGGCCGAATGTCAGCTTCAAGTCTTTCAGCTTAGGACCCACAACAGCAAGGTTGCGACAACCCTCCACTGGGTACAAAAAAACACTAAAACTCCAACACAAGCGTCCAAAAGAGTAGAACAAATTCAAAGCAAACAACTGCTATGAGGATCGGAATGCAACCGTTCAAGCCAGACACTTCAAAATGATCCATGGACGAAAGCTGCAGCCCAACCTTCTTCCGTTGTGGTTGTGCTTATGAAGGTGGAAGACGTGGAAGACGTAGAAGATGTGGAAGAGGTGGTGCTTGTGGTGGTGGCAGTTGTGGTCATGCTCATTGTAGTGGTTTCCGTACTTGAGCCTCAGTGAAGCAAAAAGCAAACCTCTCGTGACGACTCACGACTGGTTGAGACCAAAATGACATCACCGGTGACCACGAATTGACTCAGCGTCCTTGCTCCTAGTAGCGATGCCAGGAGCCCCTAGTAGCTTCTTTGTTAAGGCCAGGAGCCCCTATTGGCTTCTTGTTCCTACCCAAACGAATCTTTCTGATCGAAATTGAGCTACTGATATTGACCGTTGTGTTCTCATCAGGCTCCGTGTCGTTGGCCGGAAGCGCAATCTCCTGTGCAGCAAAGAAAAATACCATAAATACTTGATGTTCATTGATGTTCTGATTTTCGTCTTGCTCTACTTGCTCGACATCACAGCGACAGAGGTGTTACACAAAAGCAGTTGTGTACCTACGATCAGTTGTTTACTGCAAAATCCTCCAACGTTTGATGATGCAACTGGATAGCTTGGTCTCGGGCCGGGATGGAAGGTAGGATTGTGATGAGCCTCACACTCTTCGTGATGACCAAGACCTGCAGTCTGTGAGAGTTTAGTGGTGAGTTTTCATCCACCCCCAACTTTATTCAGCCACATACGAGTTGTCGGCCAAAATTACCGTGGCCTATATCTATATATGTCTATGTCGTGCATTCCACTGAGCTTCCCCTGCTGCGATCTGTGCCAAGGATTGGAACTTGTCCATCTCTTCTTTCAGAATGGTTGTGACCTTGCAGGAGTGCTGCAAGAGTGCACCGTAGATCAAAGAAAACCATTCTTCGTGCAACAAAGCATGAACACATGCTTCTGATCTGAACCAATTTCGCTATAGTCGAATGTCTGAAGGAGCGTTGCTAAATTGCATATGTTGTCAGGGATGTGGGGGTGTCAAGATCTGGCCTCTTCCAAGGAGATCGCTTCCAGCGCTTGTCGTCCCCTCTCCGCTGCCTCAGAATTTCAAGTGAATGAGCGATGCTCCTAGCGTTCTTGTTCCTAGTAGTAAGGCCAGGAGCCCCTAGTAGCGTTCTTGCTCCTAGTAGTAATGCCCTTGTTACTAGTAGCTTCTTGTTACTACTAGTAAGGCACTTGTTACTAGTAGCGATGCACTTGTTCCTAGTAGCGTTCTTGCTCCTAGCATTTTTTGCTTCACGAAACGGAAGGACGTCAAGAGTCAAGAGTGAGTGATCGTGACGGCGTGACGTCCTCACCTGAGTCGCAGCTTCCGCGCCCAGGGGGAACTCGATGACCTCGAGTGCGCTCGAAGCGAAAGATTTGGACAAAGAAAAGAGATGAAAAGAGTGGGGAAACAGAAGAGTCTTGTAGCAAAACACATTTTGCGGCTTACAAAATGAGGCCTCGAAAACAGTACTACAAAATGGCACGTGAAAAAAAGCTACCACAAAACCCTACTGAATGAAGGGCATCAAGCTTATTTTGTAGAAAGCGCCCGCGTCCGCGCGTTCCCATAAATCTCAGGAAATGAGACCTACAATGACCTACAAAATGCTGGCATTTGCATCTACAAAATGTGTCTTTGTGTCCTGTTCTTTCTCCGCTCGCTGCGGTCACGACAGTTTTGCTACTCATCTTCCTACCCACTCCATGAAGGATGCTTGAGAATCAGAGGGAGCTCCTACCTTTTTTGCAAAACACTTTGCTAAAATGGCTGAGGAATGCATTGCATTTCTACAAAATGTCTAATATGGATGTTTTACAACATGCTGTTCTGAACACATGTAGCACAAAAATCATTACAACATGAGGTCTTTAACATGCTTTGCTTGCTTGCATCATGACATGTCCAAATTCGGACAAGTTACTATTGAATGCGGGCCTTGACCCCCTTTTTCACCTACAGAATGCATGGCGCCCTGTCAGCCTCCAAGAAAAACATCCTACAAAAAAACATCGAAAGTAAATCAGGTGTGTATGTTGTGGGCTCCAAGCATGAATGTACTACAGAATGGTAGCTCTATAGTGGCCTCAACGGGGATGTGAAAAAGCAATACCAGCAGCAATACAAAGAAATAACAATTAAATAGGTGCTAAGCAACAACGCCACTTCTTGTGCTTCAATTGTCACAAATTTCTTGGTCGATTCCCAAAGTGTCTAGCGGCTAGTAGCGTCTACTTGTAGATTTCAAACAGCGAATCCTTAGACCCATGTAACTGAAGCTTGGGAAAGACTCGAACCTTGTACAATCTGGGTGAGCTTAGATCACAAAGCAAACAAACACAATGACAATGAACATAAGTGAACACAATTCTCCTCATTCGCCCGGTTGAGGCTGCAGCGTAGTCTACAGAAACTCCTTGCTGTAAACGCCGCTCCCCGGCCAGTCGCCGGTAGCTGCAGCTGCCCCCTGCAATGATGGAAACATCCTGCAGACAAGCAGACAACGAATGAGTGCAAACAAAAACAACCGTTTCATCGGTGTGGCTCATCTGTCAACGAGCCGTCTTTATATTCTGAGTGTGCAACAAAATCTCCCACGAAGGACACGCTCTCTCCGGCTGCGACGTCGGCGGGTGAATCGGATTTCTCAACAAGCTCAACCAAGTCCGCTTTAGTAGCAGCATGTCCCTAGTAGCGTCCTTGCTCCTAGTAGTAAGGCCAGGAGCCCCTAGTAGCGTCCTTGCTCCTAGTAGTAAGGCCAGGAGCCCCTAGTAGCGTCCTTGCTCCTAGTCACAGTATTTTTCATCGCCCTGTGATTGCCATCCCTCTTGATGTCCTTCACGTATTCCTCAACGACTCCAGCTGCTCTAGCTAGCATCTGCACCGATTGGCCAAAGAATTGACAAAACACATCTCGAAAGTCGTCAACTCAAGCAATCAACAACGAGGAACGGCACTTTTTTCATGAACATTCTCGACCGACACACATCAATTTATCTGCAAGGGCTGCTCGCCTTCCGCACCGCAGCCGCGCCGTCAGGGGAGTCGGCGAAGGTCGCCGAGTCCGACAAGGACATCTCCATGCCTAGGATTCAACTTGAATTTCCCACTTCAGCTTCTTACGAGTACAAAGATGTGACTATAAATACACATGCCAGAGAGCACGTTTGGTTGGGAGAATCGTTTTACATGCCAAACCTACACGCCCCATCATTGGAAGTTGGACAATCAACATCACCCTCCAACGGCGGGCGGGCGAGATGGAGCTAAACAAACATGAACCCTGACTCTGAGTCTGATGTGCTTTGTGGGCAGTTGTGAACGCATGACAGGACCTCAGTTGGTAAGTAGATGTACGCTTTCCAAGGTGGAAGCTACTCTTTGACCACTCGCATGCAATCAGTTATTTGTACAGTCTGTGTATACTACTTGCATGTATAATCTGTGTAACATTAATCATATGTCAATACAAAACATATTTAGAGGTGCGCTTCCTGGAGCTTCAAACCTTCATGTGACGTCTCATCTGGTGCGGTACTACAGGTCATAGTGATGTGATTGGAATCTTCGTAGCACAAATGTGATCGAAGATGTTCCTGTGGCGTTCAAGCGAGGCTTCCAAGACAGGCTTTGAAGCCGGATGCAAAGGAATAGTAACAAGAAGCTACTAGGGGCTCCTGGCCTTACTACTAGGAGCAAGGACGCTACTAGGAGCAAAGGGCATCGCAAGGGCATCGCTACTAGGAGCAAGGACGCTACTAGGGGCTCCTGGCATCGCTACGAACGGAGCATTCTTACTACTAGTGTCGCTACTCCGCTAGTCAGCACGTCTTGGGATCCCCACAGCCCTCCAAATGGGCTGGAGCAGTTTCCTCAGCGCTCCGAACTCGGTACAAAAACAGAGCAAAAGCGTTGGTCAATTTGGTCTCAAACGAGAAGATGAAAACAAAAAGCTACTAGGAACAAGTGCATCGCTTCTAGTAACAAGTGCCTTACTAGTAATAACAAGAAGCTATTAGTTAATTTAAACAAACGTATCTGCTTGAGGTCCAGTTCTCTCAGGACGGAAACGGGTTGTGTCAAATTTCGTGCTTCACTCTCTGATTCCCGCCCAAGGACAGAAAACAAAGCTTTCATAGCCCAAGATGCATTTGTCTCTGTCTCCTGTGTACAAAGTGGATCAACAGCTGCCCAAAGAAGATAGCTGGCATCCTCGGATCAGTGCGCTCAATCCGGCAAGAGTGGGCGCGTGTAACCTTTCCAATCTAGACCTTTGCTGCTTTTTTGCAGAACAAGACACATCCTATCCCGGGTGCGTAATTTGATGTAACTTGTGGCATGGAAACCGAAACCACGACACATGCGAAACCCACGTCTGGCCTCATCAAGATCAGGCAACTTCCACCATAGCGACACAGTTCCTGTGAGAGCCAAGCTCGATTCAGGGGTGCACGATCGGGAGCATGGCATATACTAAGCTCATCCTCAAGATAGCTCATAAATCAAACGAGTCTCTTCCAATTTAAAGGGTCACATGCTTTGAAGTCGCTTGGGGTGAAAGTGTCGTGCTTTGAAGGCCTCAGCTAAAGCCCCAAACTCGCCTCCGCCAGCCGTCACAGCGGCTTCCATCTTGATCGCGGACCCAATGGCACAAGCATCCGAATACCAAAGAGCACCTTTGCATCGAGAACTGTTCAGACCAAGATGCAGAGTTTGCAAAGAATGCCAAACTCTTGTCTAGTCTGTTGACTGTTCTAAATAATTCATCACAAGTTTCATCACACAATTCAAATTACGGGATGGCATTGGCATGGTGTTCTATTTTGGAACATTGATGACAACGTTGTGCCCTCAAAATGTCTATCCGCAAGGAGAATGTCATCGGCCATCGTCTTGAGTAACCAGAGCACCCCTACAACAGCGGCGCTGTTGGCGCCCACCCTGCCTGGTACGTATGGTCCGACAAGTGCATCCTCTTGAGTGCCATTTTCCTGCAACGGCCTAGGATCTGAAGCAGCTTCACGTTTGTTCCTCATGCTTGTACCACGTCCACTTTTTGCCTTCATACATGTTCATACTACGCTAGTAGGGTGGAGACCATCGCTAGTAGGTTGGAGGCCATCGCTTGGAGGCCATCGCTATTGGGTTGGAGAGGACCATCGCTATTAGGTTGGAGGCCATCGCCACAAGGGTGGAGGTCATCGCCGGTTGGAGGCCATCGCTACCAGGGTGGAGGCCATCGCCGGTTGGAGGCCATCGCTACCAGGGTGGAGGCCATCGGCCATCGCTACTAGGTTGGAGCCCATCGCTACTAGGGTGGAGGCCATCGCTATTGGGGTGGAGGCCATCACTAGTAGGTTGTGTTTTTCTACGTCAGAAATGACGCTCTGAGCTGCCGGACCGACAGCCATTCAGTTGTGTCAATGGAAGGTGTCCGTGTTGCGGCGCCACCCAACGACCAGTACGGTGGTTGGTCGGCTCCCTGAGGCTCGGTTCGCACGTGCACCATGTGCATTATGGCAACTACCATTGACAAATGTGGAGCTATATTCTTGAATGATCAAAATAGAGCTATAAATTGGGCATCCTTGAACCCTCCAAATACTCTGAGCATCTTTGCGCATACACGAGATTACAGGACACTCCACCAAGCAGCGCCTTTCACACAAAGCTTCCAGAACCAGGAGCTCTCCATGTGCCCCCTCGAGGCATTCCAACATGGCTGTGCTACCTTAAGAGACGTATACCGCGGCAAAGTACAAAATTTACAGTACAACAAATCGTTAGCACAGTTTCAAAGTAGCACAAAATTGCATCTCTTTGCATGTTCTGTTGAGAGTGCTTTTGACAGAGGGACAAAAAAAAAGATCAAACATATACCTTCTTCCACCCAAACATATTTCCGATGGCACAAACACATACAGACTCGTGGCACAACTGAATTAAGATGGGGGCCTGTTCGAAGGCCATGGGACAGCGATACCTGAGTGTGGAGGCGCATCAAGTAGCATATCGGTGAATCTACACTGATTGGCTTCTTCGACAGGTTGACACTCTGCCGTCGGAACAAGACGAAAACAGTACCGATGCCTTGTGCCCCTAGTAGCGTTCTTGCTCCTAGTAGCGATGCCAGGAGCCCCTAGTAGCGTCCTCGCTCCTAGTAGCGATGCCGTTTGTTACTAGTAGCTTCCTCCCCCCCCCCCGCGAAGGTCCTAGTAGATTCCTTTGCTAGTAATTACAATTCTAATTAAATTCTTTTTGTTACTACTAGTAAGGCACTTGTTACTAGTAGCGGTGCCAGGAGCCCCTAGTAGCGTCTCTGCAGCCCATGTGACCAAGACCATGTTGGGTAGCCGTGGATCTGGACAAAAGTTTTGCACGCCGTGACAGTGCATTGGCCTGCGAAAATCGGACTTCTGATGCCGAGTACCGATCAGAAACTGTCTCCGGTTTCCGGATTCGTTTGCTGCCGGTCTCGTATGCTTTCGTAACACTTCCGCTTTCCTGTGTATAGATTGCATCCAAGCTTTATCCCATACCTCGACATTTTCTGCAGGAACTTTTGCAGCAAAGTAAAAAACCATACTAGACCCTTTTGAGTTCCAAAGAAGGGTGAGGCTCTTGGTTTGCTCTGGATTGGCTCGCCTGTGCAGCAAACAACCAAGAATAAAACAGGCTCGTTTGAGTGTTCGATCCGACTCGTGAGCAAGACATTGACATGTGTTTGGACACGTGGAAACACGACGATGCACCAATCGAAGAATTCTCGTTCAAGGTCAAACGCCAAATCGAGACAACAAAACGTTGTGGAGGCCAGCGCTAGTAGATTGGAGGTCATCGCTCTTAGGTTGGAGGCCACCGCTATTGATTGGAGGCCCTTGCTAGTAACTCAAAAGAACATTGCGTTCTTTTTATTGTCATGTTCATGCAAAAATGCCTCGGGGGTTGGTCCTGCAATCACCTCCGGAGCACGATGCCTGGGTACTCGCCCATCAAGTGTGACCCAATTCCCAGGCACTTCACCGTTGAACGTCAAAGGATCAAAGACACCTGCAGACAAGAGTGGTGCACCTAACCGCAGCAAAAACGGCATACAGGCTTGTACCTTTTCAGAATTGTCCTTTGCTACAGCTTGTCAAAAGTTGTCTTTGGACCTCTGACCTTAGGGAAGTGGTGTAATTTGCTCCCGAGGTTCGAACATAACATCCATGCAGGTGTGGAACCGACAATCACCATCTTTGAAGTCCATGGTACACGTCCCTTGAAGGATTCTAAAGAAAAGGATCGTACTGTGGAAGCTTCAAGGAGAACGGCACGTGTCCAGTGTTTAACAACACATTCCTGATATTTCAAAAGAAAACGCCTGCCGCTCATGCTGACTGATGGCCTTTTTGACAAATCAGCACGGAATCCATGGTGAGTTCCGAAACAGGCTCAAATCCAGGCTCGCAGCTGAGCGTCGCCATGCCTCACAAAAAGCACCGATCTTGTTTGGAAAAGTATACCAGCATAGACCCCAAACAGTTTCAGCAGAATGTTCACGAATATGTAATGAGAAAATCCGAGGATGATATGACATTTGAAAACCTGCATCACTGTTGCATTCGTAACAAGAAAACAAACCCGGACAAGGCGGTGGAGAAAGGGAAACGGCGCGGCCACGCAGTGGACAAGCGACAAAGCAGTGATAAGAGGGACAACGACAAGGAGACAAACCCGGACAAAGCCTGGACGCCCTCAGAAGGCGGAGAAGACGCCAAGCAGGACACAAACCCCTGGAAAGGAAGGGCCCAAAGAGAACCTCAGTAATCTGTTTGGGGAACTAGATCCATTGGATTCTATGAAATGTCTTGATTGGTTCCATCTTCGTATTCCGATTTGCTGTGTCGATTCGGCGTCAGAACTCGTTCGAAGATTGCAGCCGAGCCACTGCTGATGTTGTACAGATCACTCCTTAGCAAAATTCCAGGTTCAAGAAAGGTGTTGATTCCAGGTTCGAGCATGTCTTCTAGAAGCTCTTTTTCGAGGAACGGGATCTGTCTTAGCATGTCATAAACACCAAACCCAACACGACCAAAAATGCAAAGGCCAAAAAAGAAACGCGAGGAAAGCAAGAACAAAAAACAGAAAGGCTGAGGCTGTTCGCGGTCTGACTTTCAGACGAGTCATGTCATATAAGTCATATAAAATCATATAATATAGCTAACTCATATCTCAAGTTCCCTGCTAGTCAGAGTTCCCTGCGGAACACGCTGTGCTGCTAAGCAACAACTCGAGAATCACTCGCGGCTCGAGTGACAGTGGAAGACAGCCAGTGTAGTCAACAGTATCTCAGCACCGTGCGACACTGTCTGGATTTGTGTCAAACTGTTACTACAAGGCCCGTTTTGATGATGCTTTACGGCACCAATACCCTTTGCAACAAGGGTCGTCTTGGCGAAACAAGAACTAAGAACGCTTTTTTGGTTTTCTCCGCACCATGAGTTCCTTATATAGGTCTTGCTACCTTAGGGTCCTGGAAAAATAACAATGTTTACGAATGTTTGATAATTGTTGCACAAAGCCTTGGCAATCTGAGCACTTTCGTTGCACAACGCTTCGTTGATGGCCAACTTGTTTCCTAAAGCCACAGCTGTTTTGCCTCTAACCTGCTATAGAATGTCCTAAGAATCTAGGAGCCAAATGAATAGTGCGAGCACTTCTTCAAGGAACCTGCCGCCCTAAGGCCAGGGGCGTTTCCTTGAGGAGCGTTGTAGATAGTACAAGTAGCAGCGTAGCAGGTTACCTGCCTAACCGTAGCAGCTTGTTGAGCCGTGTGGTGAGGGCAACTCGGACAAAACTCAAAAGACCCGTGTACCCGAATGAGAGTCACATGTGGAACCTGAGAACGGACATCACTCGAACACACTTGCCTTTTACACATGCATGCGTCCCGTTCAATCGCACGGAGCGCAAATGGGACAGCGACATCCAACAGCGACCAATTGTAACCTCACGAAAGGCACCTTCACACTTCACGACAGAAGAATTCCGTTGCACGCCTTCATCGAAGAATTCTTCCAAAAGAATGCTCGCTTTGCGGAGCCCCGACGCGACGATACTGGCGAACACAGGTCCAACCCCCAAACCCTCAGACTGTGAACGGGGACCCATCACTGGGCATTTGGAAAACAGAAAAAGTAATGCAAAAAGGAACAACATGTTCTTTAAGTCAATTATATAGTCAAATCCTTCTCCTGTGCCGATCAAGAACCATGGATCTGATCTTCCTCTCGGGCTCCCTGCCAGGCGTAGGCCCATAGACAGGTGCATCTGCACACTCCCTGAGCACATTAGACACTCATTTGCCGTCTCAGCACTTGATTTGGCCCGCCCAAACTCGATACCAACCGTGATTTAATCTCCGTTCATATCTGAGTTTTGTGAATTGACTGACATGTTTTCCACTATTCCTCGTCATTCTATTCATTAAATCTCACACCCCAAACCTGATTTGTCCCACACTGAACAAACCTCAAACAGAATGCCTACCAAACGTCAATGCATGCTGACCATTCTGGCTGTGCATCCCTGCGCCAACAGCTCGTATCCTGTGGCTGTTAAAGCCTTGGCTACTTCAGTCTCAAGCATACCCAATGGATCAGTGTGTGAACTGGCATGCGGACTATCACCTGGCTGTGTCCACTTGGCAATTTTGGGCTCCCGCAGCCCCAGGATTCTGGGTGAGGTCAATGGGTGGGCAAAAGTCTGCAGTGTGCCGACCTGATCTGCCAGATTGTCATCAAAACTGGCAACAATGAGTTCCTCCAACCTAGCGATGGCCTCCAATCTAATAGCAATTGTAGCTATGCTTGAAGACCCGCGTTTGAAGTCGTTTTAGTACCTTCCAACCCGCAAACAACCGTGAGACCATTTTGGTAAACAGAAACTTTAAACGTCTCGCCTTTGAGCACCTCGAGGCTTGAGCCAAATGCGGAAGAGGTCCGCTGAGATGCTCGAAGTTTTCAAAATGACTTGTTTCTGTCATCTTGTATCATTGGATGAGCCTCTTGATACAGTATATGCTACTAAGTCGCAGCAACGGAACGGTTGAGCAAGAGTCTGCGTGCCAAACTTTAACCTCAGCCGCTGGGATGCTGTGGCTTTAATTTCCGTCCGAATCCAAAAACCGTTTACAGAGCGAGTTCTACTCCATCCTTGCATGCAGTACCTTCTCTTAGTACTGGCTATCTTCTCACTCAGGTCTTAATTCTACATGCCTTACTTGCCCTTTCCTCCCTAGTGTCCTACTCACCCAACAAAGACAGGTCAAAGCATGTCAACACCCCAAACACCACGTGACATCCTTGCCGAGCGGCCAGGTTCCTGCACCAGTGCAAATGATGTGATCATCACCATCGAAGGCTGTGTAGCCAGGGTCGCACTTGAAGAACACCTTCACATACATCACATAGCACAAGACTTGGAAGAACACAAAGCCTGTGCCCTCAAGCATCTACTTAATAGCAATGCCCTCCAACCCAATAGCGATGGCCTCCAACCTACTAGCAATGGCCTCCAACCTGATAGCGATGGCCTCCAACGTAGAAGCTCCGCTTCACGTCATGCTTCTACACATTCAAGCATCCATTCGTTTGTTAGCCTCATTGTTTGATATTCCCGGCACCTCTGCGGCAGGGCGACGGGGGAAAAGGCTGTAGCGGAAGTCCTGAGGATTGTTCACCTTTGAGACATACCTTGGCAATCAACGGACTTCATACTGTGCTCATTGTGCTGCATGTGGCTTCAAAAAGCGATCAACAGCTCGCTTGTCTTTCCATAGTCTGTGACAACAACTGATGCAAAACCAGAGCGAGGGGTGACACGTCAGAAGGTTCCAGTTGTTCCTGTTCAAGGGATGAATAGAGATGTCCGGCTGTAACCGTATGCCCTTAGTAGCGTCCTTGCTCCTAATAGCGATGCCCTTTGCCCCTAGTAGCGTCCTTGCTCCTAGTAGTGATGCCCTTTGTTCCTAGTAGCGTCCTTGCTCCTAGTAGTACGGCCAGGAGCCCCTAGTAGCGTCCTTGCTCCTAGTAGTGATGCCCTTTGTTCCTAGTAGTTTCTTGCTCCTAGTAGTAAGGCCAGGGGCCCCTAGTAGCGTCCTTGAGTAAGAACCCCAGGGGGGTAACATACATACCTTGTTTTCGGAGGTTAGTAGGTATCTAGCAGGCATCCCCTGCCTCCCCCCCCATATAGGTATGTATGTATGTATGTATCTTCCAAAATTATAGGTATGTATGTCTGGGGAAGCATACATACCTAGAAACTACAGGTATGTATGTATGTTAAAGGTATGTATGTATGTCAACAGACATACCTAGAAAATTAGAGGTATGTATGGTATGTATGGATGTGTGGGGAAAAATATATACCTAGAAAAGAAGAGGCATGTATGTATGTATGTATGTATGTATTGTCCGAACGTACAGACCTCAAAAGCACGGGTATGAGTGTTCCTCGGAGACATAGCATCAGGTAAAAAGCGAGGTCTGTGTGTTTCGCAGGGCTCCCAGTTTGAGGTATGTATGTTTCCCAGGAAGATACATACGCATGAGTGTCTCGGTATGCAGGTTTCCCGCAAACATACATACTCATTATTATCCAGGTATGTCTGTGTCCCACAAACATATATACCGTATGTACGTGGTCTGAGAAACATGCATACCCGTGAGTTTGAAATATGTATGGTTCGCAGAAACATACCTACCCACAATATTCCGGTATGTATGTTTCCCACGCAGATACAGACCGTTAGTTGTTTAATGTATATCCGTTCCCAGAAACACACACACCGAGGAGGTATGTCTGCCAAACAGAGATTACCTTCAAGTATGTATTTCCCTGCAACAATCATGCCCTTGACCTTGAAGGCAGTATAAGGAGGAAGAGAGATATGTGGCATTCTCGGGACGCGCGTATACATGAACGTGGACTGTCTCACACAATGAAGCATGCTCCTCTCCGTGACCTCCCCCCCC